TCCTCTCAAACCTCAGGTTTCTGATAAATAGGGAGACGTCTTCCATGATTTTAACGGGTGAATGAAATCTTTGCAGAAATATGAATGGCATTCAAGAACAATATAGATGACTGTACGGTATAGCTGACCTGTAAAAAGGGTTAATAGAGGATGATGTGATAGTAATTCCTTAATGCACTATTAGTAAAGATATTACAGAAGCTCTCATAAACACGTGTAAGTGGTAGATCTGAGTCAGTGGTTTGACTGAGGGTATGACAGAGTGCTGTAATAACAATACACTCAGGAATGTGTCTTATTACAATAAATGTGTTCAGAAATCAGTCTTTATAATAGCGTAAATAAGACACATTGTGAGTGTTCTAAATTACATTTAGAGTTGCATAAATTGTTTTTAGTAAGTCACCTAAAATTTCTCAGAACAGCCCAACCCCTGGCCAACACCTAAAGTAAAAATGTCCCTCTTTGTCCATTTGCAATGCTGGGAGGTCTGTTACAGTCTGTTACAGCCCGAGGGAGGGAATGCAGGACAGAGGAGCTGGAACAGTGCTGGGCGTTTTCAGCAGCTTCCCCGGCACAGGCCCCGCCCCCAAATTAGGTCTGCCTCCCTACTTAACCCCGCACCCGCCATTAAGCAGCAGACCTTGCTGCTGCTGGAAAGGCCAGAAAGTGGCTGTCTGACCCCCAGCAACAGCCTCCAGTGACAGGTAGGCTTGATATGCTCAGCCTTGTGTGTGTGTGTGTGTGTGTGTGTGTGTCTGTCTGTCTGCTAGTGAGGAAGCTTGTGTGTGTGTGTGTGTGTGTATGGACTCAGCAGTGTGCATGTGTGTGTGTATGAACTCAGCAGTCTGTGTCTGTGTATGGACTCAGCAGTCTATGTGTATATGGACTCAGCAGTCTGTCTGTGTGTGTGTATGGACTCAGCAGTCTGTGTGTGTGTGTGTGTGTGTGGACTCAGCAGTCTGTGTGTCTATGTGTGTGGACTCAGCAGTCTGTCTGTGTGTGTGTATGGACTCAGCAGTCTCTGTGTGTGTGTGTGTCCCCGCAGACCTGCTGATCTCTGCTGCCAGGTAGGTCTTCACCTCCATCAGTTTGGTGAGGATCTGTGAGGTGTCCCCCCTGGGTGAGCCTGCATGCTGGGGTGACTCTGGGTGGGTAGGTGGTGCTGCTGGCTGCGGGCTGCGGCGGCCGCCATCTTGTGGATCTGGCTGGGTCTGGCGGGAAGCCGCAAACAGGTCGGCCACGGAGTACCCGGCGTCTGCCGTTTTTTTTGGCGGCTTTTTTAGCTGCCGCTTATTCATGCCTGGGGGTGATGGGTGCTGGTGCGTGGGGTCCGGCTCGTTTGTGATGCTGTTTGTAGCTGTGGGGCCTATTTTCCGCGGGAGCTCCGCTTACGTGCGGCCGTCCAGACTCGCGGTCAGGTCACGCCCCCCCTTATTGGACTATTCTAAGACATTGATATACCTCTTCTGAAGCCTTGATAAACTTGTCTGTGTGTTTTGGGTCATTGTCATATTGCAATATTAACAGAATTTAGCAGGTTTTTGCCAAAATATAATAATATTTGGAGCTATTCTGAATTAATCTTTTGGTGTAATTTATACAGGGCTTAAATGTCCATTTTTAAAGAAAGGGTTTCTCTCTTGCCACTCTGCTACATAGCCCAGACATGCGTAGAATACATAAGTTGGTGGTCACATGCAATGATTGACCGTGACAGCTTCCTACATCATTTCTTACCTGGATGACGTTCAGAAATACGGGCAGCACCTATATATCTATTCACCAAACAGTGAAACACATTGTGAAAAAAGAAATGTCTAATTTAATTGGAACAGCTGTATCCCATATGGTTTTTTTTTTGTATATTTGCCTTAATTGGAACATTAGCTGAGTTGGAGAAGACTTCCAGTTTGGTCATTTTTGTCCCTTCTCCTAAATTTCTGATTTAGTCAATAACCATGAATGTTTGCCTGCAACATCACAGTTACCATTGACCATACCCACCATTATACATATGGTAAACCCAGCCCTCACCCAGAGCAGCAACCACCAATCTGTCTGATTTTGAAGTTGTATGCAGATATTATACTGTTCATTAACCCCTTAAGGACACAGCTTCAGACGCTTGTCTTACGCTTAATGACACAAGCAATTTTTGCATTTTCTTGCTGTATGCGTTCAACTGCAATTTGCATCTCTCTCGTTTATTGCACCGACACATATTATATATTGTTTTTTAAAGGACAGAAAGGTCTTTAATTTGATGTAACATATATATATATATATAAATGCTTATTTATTAATAAAAAAAATCCAGAAAGGGGGCGGGTCCTGACTACCATGGAGGACAGACGTGCTCTGGCAGAGCTCCTCTGAAAACAGGGAGACTGATGCCACTTCTAGCCCAACTAAACCTATACTTGGAGACACTACTCGACTTACCTGACCCATGATAGGGCAGGGATCCAACACAGGGAACTGTGTCCCTCCTGAGGCCTGCTGGCCGCAGTTCTCACAGCATGAGGCCTAGCGCATGTCGGGCGGGAGAGGCGGCCGATCTCCCGGTCTGGCGCTGTGCGATGCCGACTCACTACAAGCAAGAGCCCCGTTACTCCCCCCCTGGACCGACGGGGGTGATCGCAGTCCACCCCAGGGAAGCAGGCCTGGAATAGAGGGAGTCCAGGGCGATGCACAACCAAAACGCTTCCGACCCAGTCTGGCACCCATCATGGCAGACGCCACGTGTCTCCACGACCCTGCTGATTCAAAGCTCTGCAACCAACTAGACACACTAATCGCCAACTTCTGGCGCAAGCTGGAGAGCAGGACACAGCCACTTACTTCACAGCGACCAAGCAGCCATCCACCTGAGAAGTAGCCTTTAACCTGGCAGCACGCTCAACAGATGCAGCACGCGGGACAGACCTCATCATGGCGGCGGACCACGCTGCTCACTCGACCCCAACACGGGAGGGTAAAACCCTATAGGAGACGAAGATGCAAGACACGCCGGAGAAACACAACAAAAAAAATGCCTCATTCACCTCACCTGATGGCGCCTGGGTCCGCAGAGCAACGAAATCCTGCTCCTCAACGGCGCTGGACCCAACAAACAGACCGGCCTCTTCCACTGTCAATCCGGCGCAGAGATCTGAAATGTCTTGCTGTGATACAGAAGCACAGGATAACCACGGAGGGCATCAGAGGCATGCAACACCAGCCTGAGCAACCAACTCTGTCAGGGACATTTTACATCCCACCAACACACTCCTGGCTCTTCCCGAGCCTAGGAATCGGCTGACCGGTGACTTTCTGATGGGCATAGGCCTGCTGTCTAATATTTAAGCTTTGAAAGTGTTTAGATAGCCACCATTAGCTCTGATTTATACTAATCTTCTTTTATATGCCTTGCTCTTGTGTTTATGTTATAATTTATTTAATTTTTTTCAGCAGTCATTGTGCAGGGACCAGTGATGAGGTGAACGTTAAGATCTAGACCTAACCTATTCTCCGTCTCATATATTATATAATGCACAGTTCTCCATGCGTAAAGTGCTTCATGCATATTGGAATTGCCTTTCCCCGGAATGTAGACACAGATGCTTAACTAAAACAAGTCCACACTGACCATCGACATCATACACGGATTAGCCACTATGCGGGAGAATGGTGCTGGGTGGTTACAGGCAGGGGTTTGTGTGATTGTTTCCTTACAGTTTTTATAACAACGGGCAACCTACTCGGCATCTAAGCACTTGCACCATTAGGCACGATGCCTATTGTTTTCAAGTAGACCCCCTTGCTGCCACTGCTAAA